CTATCTCTGGTGCCACCTTCGAGGCTACCGTAAGCTCAAGTTTGCCCAGTAACACATAAATATTTTTACACCAATCGATCCAACAGAATCTTTTTACACCAATCGATCTTAAAACTTTCTACTCAAGAACTTGGACATCTCACTCAAATCAAAATGCATTGAGTTATTTTTCAAGAACTAAAAAATTTAGGAATCCGTGAGACCTTCAGTGAAACTGATAATGGTCAATTGTACGGACCAATAGTGAAACTGTACGCATTCTCATGATTGGTTGGTTGAGATCAGCTTTCACAGTAACAAGTATTCACTTGATGTTGTGCTTCTTCACTCATCGTTATTGTTGTTGGTGAAAAATTTCCACTTAATTTCGACAATCCCAAAGATCAGAGCAATATTTCCAGTTTTTGAATCGCTACCTAACTTTGTGGGAATGTAAGTCAAGGGTGTTGCTTCAAGTGGGCAACTGGCTTCCTCATCGGATATGCAGTTTACTAGTTGAGACGGCAATCAGGTTGTTACACCACAGTATTAAACNATGTGAAATGGCTTGAAATCGCATAAACTCAAATCTCTGTTAGCTAGAGGATAGCATTGCTGATTCTCAATGAATTGCGTATTGCACATGATCTAGTTTTATGCCGTATGTAAATTTGGCTCAGCCAATATGGGAATGCATAAGATCAGACTTATTTTCAGGCCTACAATTACAATAGAAACGAGCAAAACGTGGAATACGTCGAACACTGTACCGAGCCACAAAAGAAAGCTGCAATCGAATATCATAGAGTTTTCAAGACGACTTGCGAACCCTCTAGAATTTATTTTTTTAATTCGAAGTGGACTTGTAAACCTCATACGGGTTTGGAATTAAACACGAATATGTCTTAGCCATCTGTGAACCTAGGTGTTAGCTCATTCCTAAGCGTGAGTATACAGTTACCTGACAGTCAGCGTGAACCTGAGCTTGAGCATAATGTCAGCGCATGAGGCTGCAATACATACGTATATGCATTGCTACGTTGTACGAAGTTTACACGTTGTTAAGTTTGAAATAAAAAACAGATTCATTTCATCCTTCGATAATTTTTTTAATCAAAAAAGTTTTCTTGAGAATTAAGTTTCAGTGTAGAGCAGTTTCTAGTCTTCAGTGAAATACCATAGAATAATGCGATCGTTTCGGTGTATTATTTTTTTTTGGGACACTGGAATTCGTACCGAACTTTAATAACGCAACTGAGGCTCTGAGGAAATTTCCTTCTCTGTTGTTTTTGAATCCACGCGCGAATAGCGCGTTCGTTATTCACTGGATTTCTATGGAATTGATCTGGTTTCTTATCTTCCGAATTCCGGACTTGATTCGTTTTTCATTAGACTGCTAGAAGAGTGTTTAGTTTTCTCTGTTCGCGAATTTTTTCTGGTGTTGTCATTTGTTAGATAAGTTTATTGGATTTTTGTGAGGTGATCCTCGGTGAATTATTCCATCTTCAGGGTATATTTGTTTGTCTCGTCATACTTGACAATAGCCATCCATCTCCAGTGAAAACAATGACATCGGAATCGGTCAAACAAAACGGTGTGATGAGCGCGCAGGGTGATTCATCTCGACCGGCGTATAGTGAAATGACCAGTCGAGATTACTACTTCGATTCGTATGCGCACTTTGGAATTCATGAGGTTATCCATCACTCTTGAACCTTTCTTCTCACATCTTTACTTCACCGTAAAGTTTAGAATTGAAACAATATGTACTCAGAATTGCTTAAACATTAGCATCACTTGAAACAACCTTCAGGATTAAATATCTGGCCATGAGCTGAGTTATCGGTTCATAAGTGGGGTATGAGTCGAATAGTTTGAATCGTTTTCTTTGTTCTGATCTCATCAATTCATACTTTAACATTGAATATATTCGTTCGTTCAAGGAGATGTTAAAAGATGAAGTGCGCACAGTCACTTATCGTAACGCAATCTATCACAACAAGCACCTTTTTAAAGATAAGGTTGTTATGGATGTCGGATCAGGAACGGGTATTCTGTCGATGTTTGCCGCGAAAGCCGGCGCTAGAAAAGTTATTGCGGTACGCTTTTGCACTTTTTTTCTCAAGTTATGATTTCACGTTCTTCATGGTTTATTACAGATTTCTTAGATTCTTCGTGACTCAATTGATATTTAGTCACACTTTTTTGATTGTATTTTTAGATTGAATTCTCAAATATGGCTACGCAATCGAAGCAGATCGTGAAAGACAATAACTTGGAGCACATAATAACCGTGGTTCACGGTAAAGTGGAAGAGATCGTCGAGCTGCCGGAGGGCATTGAGAAGGTATGTTGTTGATGTGAACGCGGAATTTTTATCACTTGTTTATAATAGGAATATAAATGCTTGACACTTTGCATTAATACTATTTTGGAACGTTTGATGGAAAACAAAATCAGTGTTTTTTTACGAACGATGACAATGAAAAGTGATGCAGGTGGACGTGATAATATCTGAATGGATGGGCTATTGTCTTTTCTATGAATCGATGTTGAATACGGTGATATACGCTCGAGACAAGTGGCTCAAACCCGATGGTGCTATGTTTCCGGATCGTGCGAAGTTATTCCTCTGTGCGATTGAGGATAGACAATACAAGGAGGATAAAATCAACTGGTTCGACTCTGTCGTTATCGTTCATTCTGTCAAATTTTGACATTCAGAAGTGCCACTAATATTAATAGTAAAAATGATGACGATACCATAATTAAAGGTGGGATAACGTATACGGTTTCAATATGTCGAGTATTCGACGTGTGGCGATCGCTGAGCCACTAGTTGATGTGGTGGATCATGCACAAGTGGTCACCAACAATTGCCTACTGCGGGTTTCTTTTTGAAATTTCTGAGATTGCGAAAAGTTTTCGGTTTTGAATCTGACCATGTTTATTTATTGCGTTATTTGTGTATTATTTCATTTCGTCTGTTCGAATAAAAGATGATGTGTCATTTCAGGATGTTGATCTGTACACTGTGACCGTGAACGATCTGTCGTGGAGTGCTGATTATATGTTGCGGGTGACAAGAAACGATTATATTCAAGCGTTGGTCACGTTCTTTACAGTCGAATTCTCGAAATGCCATAAGAGGACGGGTTTTTCGACTGGGCCTGACGTGCAGTACACTCACTGGAAGCAGACCGTTTTTTATCTGCAGGTTCGTCCGGTTTGTTTTTACGAAATTCGCTCGAATTATCAGTAACTGTTATTTATTAGTTTCTTGAAGTGAATGACTTGAAATAGATTTTCGAATGGTTACAGCAAAGAACATTCAATTGCATATGGTGCGTCCATGATGGTTGTATTTATTACTTGGACATCGAATGGTTGTTTTGTTAATCGTTGTGAATGATCGGCGGAATAAATAAATATTTATTTAATATTTATTTATTAAACGCAGCCAAATATCGATACAATAAATAGCTGTAATAAATATTTATTAGAGCTATTTATTGGATTGATATTTGGCTGCGTTTAATTATAAGCTTTGAACTAATTGATTGCTCGGTTGTGTTTGGTTGGGCTGCTCGCTTAGTCAGTATGGTGGCTGAAATCAAGGCGAAAACATTGCGAGCATTGTGGCCAGCAACGTTGCAGACGTTTGATGATAGCCTGGCCAGTCCAGTGGATGATGTTTGTGTTGAAATATGAGTATAGGATCAGGGTTCGACTGAATGACATCTACTTTTAGGAGTCGTTGACGTGCAAGAAAAACGAAGAAATCACAGGTGTTTTCTCGATAGCTCCGAATGCGCGCAATGAGCGTGATCTCGACTTTAAGATAGCAGTTCAATTTCACGGTGATGTTTGCGATGTTGAAGAAGAAAACGTTTATACGATGCACTGACGATCCGATCCGATCTTATCAACAATAATACTTCTATAGCAGCATTCATTCAAGCTGAACCATTTACCGTTCACTATTGGTCTTCTTATGTTCTCCACTCTTAAATATTCATTTATTTCATTCTAAACTTTTGTTTTATGTTCGAAAATTTTATCAGTTGACTTTCGCAGTTTGTTACAAGACGTTTTAAAGTTTCCTTGAGAACGGTAATGAATTGTAACGATCTAGTTAAGGTGCATGATAATTTCTTTCTTTTTTTCATTTTATATCACTATGCATCATAGAATACGTTTTTTATATTGTCTGTTACAGTCAACGGTAATATTCAAATAATTTCAATTGTTTTACGTTGGATCTCAGCGCCGGGGGAAATTATCGAAGAAATATTGAAGAGGGATAATTAAACGCGTTAAGATAAGATACAGAAAAATTTTGTTTGTATATGATTGAAGATTGGTATATGGAGTGATACAAATGAATATTACAATATGATGATATTGTTGTTTTTACTTTCTTTGTATTGTTCTATTGAATTGTGTATTGTATTGTGCGTGGAACAAATTTGCTCGATGCAGAATTCATTTCAAAGAACCGTTTTGCTGCGTTTTCTTCGGAGAGGTTTTGATG